AAAATAAAGAAAAATGGTAAATAATTGCAATATTTTCATATGTGTGCTTAAAAGTTATGCTATTAACATAAATTTCTAAAATATTTCAATTTAGTATTCTGTGACATTCCACAATTACCTTGAAAGCCCACCAGAAATATAGTTATTCATTTTAAATATGCAAAGAAACATGACTTTCTTAAATACTAAGTTGTTTCTAGTATTTGATTTTAACATCCTCTGATCATTTATCGATTACAGTTTCAAGGGATTATAAAAGGTGTTCTGAGGATTGGTGGGGGGAAAAACCCTTATATTAAGTCTTTAACAAATTGAGGGCCGGGGAGATGGCTCAGTGGAATAAGCACTTCCCTGGCAAGCGCAAGGGCCTGAGTTCAATCCCCACTTCCAAAAAAAAAAAAAAAAAAAAAGAATTGAAGCTATGAAACACAAAGCCTGAGAAAAATAATAAAATGGCCAAGTACATAAAATAAAACAAATCAATGAAGGTTCTCACAAGGGAGAATTCTGAGTAGACTAGAGAAAGGAAGAAGGGCTGAAGTAGCTGCACAGTAAGCCAAGTCTGTATGCTAGTGGGAAAAATGGGCATATGGATGAAGAGGGTGGGCTTCACATGTGAGGCAGCATGAACACACAGGATGTGAAGAGATTGTGAGAGACAATGATGACACTATCTTGCAAAGAGGAGAGTACACACTGGAGAATTCATGAGAACTGACCTGGGCTTGAAGTCCTAAGCCAAGTACAAATGAGTTCAGCTTATAAGCAACTATGCAAAGCTGTAAAGATATCCATGGATGACAGTGTAATAATCTGTGCACACACTGTTAAGTGAAGGAAGTAAGGGACAGCTGTGGCAGTGGCAACAGCAGGTAGGCAGCCCAAGACCGCAGCAATGTCTACAGAGGAGCAGAATCTCTGGGCCTACTCTTTCCCTGTTAGAGACCTCTTGCTCATCTGCTGTGAGCACATGGAGTGACAGGTCAGAAAGCTGGCATGGGCAGTTGAAAACTGCTACTAAGGACATACAATACTTTGGCAGTCAGCTGAAGCTGAATGAGCAAGGGGCCATGAACTCTTTTATAAGGTTTATCTTATTTGGAAGATAAAAAATTCTGGGCATACAGGGATAGTCTTTCAGCTTCTAGTATAGTATATACTTCCATCTGCTCTTTTCAGCTGATGGACAGGTTGGTGAGCTTTATAAGAGCAGAAATTCTGAATTACATCTATAGTTCTAAAATTGCCTGTGATAGAGATTTAGCTGGTGAGTTACTTAAAGGAGGTCAGTTATTAAGAGCAAAACATAGGGGCTGGTGAGATGGCTCAGTGGTCTAAAGCACCTACTTAGAACAAGCTTAGCAAAGCACAGGGACCACGGTTCAATCCCCCAGCACCACATGCCAGCGAGCCCCGCCCCCTGGTGGGCTGAGCTGCCCCCCCATAAATAAATAAAAATTCTTTTAAAAAAAAAGAGCAAAATATAAGCATTGCTCATGTCCTATTAACACAGATTAAAAGCATTTTAAGTGTAGCTCAGGATGGTAATGCTTAAATCTTACCTCCTGGTTCTAGTGACAAAGATCTTGTAATACAATAATCAAAAGATGAAACCAATAGTAGTGGGCCACTATAATGACTATTACAAAATTCTTTTTCATCATCTGAAGATTATGAAATAGAAAGATCATTATTACTGAGTCATATGATGACCACAATGTTATTTTCCGCTCTGAGATTCTGTTTACAAAGAAAACTTAGCTGAGTAACAATGCAGTGACAAGGTCCATTATAACTCAGGCCCGGATGCTATTTTACATGTGGTACTTTTTACTAGCATTCATTCTCTCCCTTTAATAACTACCTCACCTATTTAGAAACTTCTCACTCCTGGCAATCAGGCAAATAGAAGTCTATTGGGATAAAAAGGAGTTAAAATAGAGATGTGAGAGCAGAGATAGGAAAACAGGACTGCAATAGCAGAGGGAGTAACCAAGAACACTCGGAACTCCACAAGCTCACCCTGTTTTCTTGTGCTTGTCCCTAGGTGCCTAGCAGCTGCATGTCACATATAGCTTAAACATAATCTTAGGCACACATTTTGTTTTGTTAACCGAAAGTAACCTAAAGGCTGAAACTCAATAGATAAAAATAAAGACCAAAAACGGCATGACAGCCTTTTCCTCAAGCCCTCGCTTTGTTTGCATTGCGTGTCCGTGTGTCTCTGTCTGTGGCTGGCGTCTGGGTCTTTCCCAACAGAAGCCAGACACAAGGAAGCAACAAATTGTTGATGTCTTCAGTTCCAATACATCTGACACTTCAATATCATTTTGTTAAGTTAAATAACATGATAACAACTACTAAACCACCAAATGTCAGTTCTTCACTTTCAAATCATATCTCCTCTTCAATAAACTCATTTGTACAGAATTAGCAGATACCAAACAGGATTGTATTAACAGGAAGTAATAAAGAAGATATGGGGGGGGGCCTGCCCCTTAGCTCAGTTCCTTAAGTGGCTGCTTCAACAAAGCAGTCAGGCTCAGGTTGCTGCGGTTCGATCCCCACAACTCAAGCCCTGAAGGCATGTGGAGAAAAAAAAAAAAGACGATATGATGATGATATGAAGACACTATTAGCTCTAGTCCAGACTCAGCAGTCAGCAATATGTCTTTGCTCCCACAGACTGACACTTCCCAAAATACTACTTTTGATGGATTGCTGATAGAGAAGATCCAGATTCCTACACTGCCCCAAGAACCAGTTTTTGATTCTTTAAAGTATTCAGATGTAATTACTAAAAACACTAATGACCCAAGCTTAGAATCTAAACATCTATTAGGGGCCAGAAAACTCATTACTTTAGATACAGCTACTGAAACTGAAGGCTTATCAATTGGTTGGAACATTCATACAAATATTGGTGAAAGTACTTAGGACACAGTGATCTCTGTCAGTGATCAACCTGAGGAAGGGAAGTCCAGACTTTAGAGTGAGTTACCAAAAATGTCTAGTAATGAGTTCATAAACAAATGTATGGAGGTAAAGTATGATGACTGAATGAGTTAATAGTAAGTGGGTCTATTATATCTGCATTGTATGCAAAAGGTCATACATCTGACAAGTTTGGAGAAACACTTTTAACATTAATCCTTGGGAGAATTAACCATGCTAGTACTGTGAGAAGGTATTTCTTTTTGCAGAATATCACACAAAGAATGAAATACATCATACTTGGGGTAAAAGTAATGATGTTTGGCCTGTGGCAAATCTTTAAACTATTAATTTATTATTTGTTAACTATTAATTTATGCCTTTACATATAACAACCTTTTAGACTCAACTGCTAGATAAATTAGTTTGTCAAAATAAAAGTCATTACTTTTTTTTTTTGCGGAACTGGGGACTGAACTCAGATCCTTGCGTTTGCCAGTCAAGCACTTATCCTACTGAGCCATCTCCCCGGCCCCTAAAGTCATTACTTTTTAAAAAAATCTTTTATTTTATTTATTTGGTACAAGGTCTTGCTAAGCAACTGGGACTCCTAGTGATCCTCTTGTCTCAGCCTCCCCCGCACTGGGATTACAGGCATGGCCACCACACCAAGTCTTGGTGGCTGGCTCAGCACACCCAGGGGTGCGTTCAGTAAGGCATGTGGTGCCTCCTGGTCCCTGCACTTGCCTAAGCAGGTACTTAGTCTGCTGAGCTATCTCGCTGGCCCACAAAACGCTATTTAAAATTTACTTACTTTTTTCTAGTTTATACTTAGCTTTCTGGCTATTGAATGTCCTTCTTTTTCAGATTGGGTTAAAATTTACTATATTTCATTTTTTTTTTTTGCGGGGGGGGGTTACCAGGAATCGAACTCAAGATCTTGTGCTCACCAGACAAGAGCTTATTCTACTGAGCTATCTCCCCAGCTCCAAAATTTACTTTAATATTAACTATTATTTCTTTTCTGGGGTCAAGGATATAGCTCAACAGACTAAGCACCTGCCTGTAAAGCACAAGATCCTGAGTTTGAACCCAAGAACAAAAAAAATCTATTTGAACTGACTACTTTTTGAAATAAGTTGTATATAACTCTTATTTGAGATATTTAAGATAAATCTACTCTAGATAAAATGCCTTCAAACAGTTTTTAAAGAAAATACTTCAAGATATAGCAATAAATTAAAAAGGCTTATTTAAGAACTCATGGACAGCACTTCCTAATTTAAGTGCTGGAAAAAGATTAGAGGAAAAAAAACAGAAATCAAACTGAGCCTGAATAAAAACATCTAAAGAGAAATACCTCTGGTATAATTTATTTGGTGATGGTGCAACCGTTATGGAAATCAGTGTGGAGACTCATTAGAAAAGTAGGACTGGAAATCCCATTTAAACCACCTATTCCTCTACTGGGAATTTTTCCAGAGGATATGAAAACATCATATCATAGGGATATATGTGTGCCTATGTTTATAGCAGCACAATTTGTGATAGCCAAATCTTGGAAACAACCAAGATGCCCATC